TAAAAATGTGTACAATATTTAGTTAACTGTTGCTGTCATTGTTATGAGTGGATTTCCAATTGAATACTGCATTTTAATGACATAAATTTACAATATTAGTGACAATTTTATGAAAAATTGGCGGCCATTTTGAAACGGCTGGCAACCCCCCCTTACGTATGAAAAAAAAATGTTGCACATACTTTTTTGATTTATCTATGTCTACTCTACATCATATCCAATTTTTAAAAAATATAGCAAAAAAAAAAAATGAAATGCAACCAACCAAAGTTTGCTGGACTAATTGGGGCCGCATTGTGTGGCCGGCGAGGCATATCGCTTTGCGAACGCTAGTTGTAGTTGAAGCTACGCACACGATAGCAGAGCACAATGTAGAGCTTAAGATGTTGAAATCCTGGAACGATAATGCACTGACTCCAACAAAGTACTATACTCATGACGTCATATGGTGATAGGGTCACTTTAATTCTTTGTAATACATCTGTAAATTAGCACTGTAATGTGTAATTTATATATTTTTCGTGTCGTATTAGAGGTTTTATTTGACATCCTTAATGAGTTCAGGTTTACGTAATTTGCCGTAGGTTCTATTTTTATCTCCCGACCGCTCAGGTTCTTGACAGCATCGCATATCCAGTATAGTTGTTTGTCACATTTAGCCATGTAAATGGGGTTTAACCTTTAACCTTAAGGCATTCTTAAGTTTTACTCTTTACTCTTTCAGAGCGATAACATACCATTTTTGATTCAGCAACGAGAGATTCAAGAAAGTAGACGCAGACACTTAAAATCAGCGTGTTTGAAATACAACATACCACAGTCTGACGTCATTAGTAACCCACCGTGGAATTTATATCTGGACACAAATCATAAACTACTATATTGCAATATCCCAAAAGTGGCATGCACAAGTTGGAAGCGGGTTATATTAGTTTTAACTGGAGTAATGAAACACACGGATGACATGGAACAAAGGGTGGTAAATAGATACGGAAGATCACAGTTAACTTCACTGAGTAAGATACCATTTAAGGATCGACAAGAAGTCTTAGATACGTATACCAAATTCATGTTCGCTCGACATCCTTTTTCGCGGGTTTTATCCGCCTTCAATAATAAGATCAATCCAAATACCACCGATTCTAAAACAGTATGGACCCAACGGCAGCAACTAATAGCTTCAATAGAGGGTGAAGAACAAGGCCCAACCTTTATTAAATTTTTACGATATATATTAGGTATGACGCCTGATGAAGACGATCGTCATTGGAGTACGGCCACGAACATGTGTCTTCCGTGCGATATAGATTATGACGTCATTGGAAAGTTTGAGACATTGTCTGACGATGCAAACTATATATTGAAATTAGCGAATGTGGATCATTTGGTTGAGTTCCCTTCAGCAAAAGGAAGCAGTCCAACGAACAGCTCTAAAAAAGACACGTTGCAAATGCAGTTCGACGGCATACCGCTTAACATTGTACACAACCTTTATGAAAAATACATTCTTGATTTCCGATTATTTAATTATTCAATACCGAAACTAAATTTTTTTTGAATAAATTTTAATTGAATGATATCTAAATGTTATTGCACATTTAGTAGACAACTGCCAACAATAACGATCATTAAACTTGCAAGCAATGTTTAATCCGTCGATCTTAAGACGTTTTCTAATGTACAGTCTATTTGTATCATTAAATGTAGTACGGTACATACACTGCTATTCAGGAACGGATCCAGGATTTTCTGCCGAGATGGTTGGTGGAGGGAAGGGGTTGGAGGCGGGGGTGAGGTCAGAGAGAAAAGGGTTTGAGGTTGTTCCCTTTCCTATTGTGATTATTTTAAAAAATTTTACGCTTGGAAAGAGATTTTTGCCACTGTTGGATACCCCACTTATATTCTGTAATTTAATTATTATCTGAAGTCATCTGGAAACAGCTGAACGCAATTTTCATATACTAGCGTGTTTTTATCGTAAAAGGGAAATCAATGAGGTTAAATTAGCGGGGACATATCAACGTCATTGTACACTATTGTTCAGATAGCAATGCTTTATTAAGTTACGCTGTATCCACAGATTCAAACGTTATGACACATACCCAGTGATATTACATCATCTTGCCCATATACGGATGTGATATGACATTCAGGAACACTATACATAAGCAATTCATACATATTTATAGACTTTTAAAAGGAGACGATCAAGGAGTGCTTTTGAAACATTGGAGCAAGATAATTATTTGTAGTTGCAGCGTACCCACGCCACTCATGAGGGTGTAGTAGCCTTTTAATGTATGCCTGAGCCAGTTCTGATCTAAGATATAATATATATATATATATATATATATATATATATATATACTGTATATATATATAAATAATAATAATAATAATAATAATAATAATTATTATTATTATTATTATTATTATTATAA